GTGCCGGCCTCGGGAGCGGGGCCCCGTTTCTGCCCGGCCGCCCTGCGTATCTTGGGGAGCGGGGGAGCCACCGTCTTTCCCCTCTGCCCTCGCTGACGGGGGGAATTTCCCTCCGGTGGTGTTTCCTGAACTATGCTCCGGGTTCACGGTGTCTTTTTTTTCTTTAAGCAGTTTTGACACCAGGTCTGTTCTGCACACTCGGTACTAAAGTGGTGCCTCTTTCCTTCCATCAGAAACATGCGAGAACGTGGACTGTGGACCCGGGAAGAAATGTAAAATGAACAAGAAGAACAAACCTCGGTGTGTTTGTGCTCCGGATTGCTCTAATATCACTTGGAAGGGCCCCGTGTGTGGCTTAGATGGGAAAACCTACAGGAACGAGTGTGCCCTTCTCAAAGCCAGATGTAAAGAACAGCCCGAACTTGAAGTCCAGTATCAGGGCAAATGCAAAAGTAGGTTTGCAAATCTAATCCATAATCTCCCTCAAATGCCAAAGGGTGTGTGTGTGTGAGTGTAGGGAGGAGCTGTTGCATGTACTTCCCCCTGATGTTCCAGAGGTTGGGAGAAAGTAACTACATCATGCACAACAGGCAAGGACATAGCTGAATTGAGAGTTCCCCATAGTCTAGCAGCACTTGTATCCCACCAGCTACCCTGAGATGGGAAGGCTTCTTCCAGCAGCCCTTAAATGAGGAGCACTGCTAACTGCTTTTATCTATTCATTTGTGTCATTGTGTCACCTATTTACTCTTCACTGGGACTCTGATATCTTCTATTAATCACTGTGTGTTTCTGTCTGTTTCAGAGACCTGTAGGGATGTTTTATGCCCGGGGAGCTCCACGTGTGTGGTTGACCAAACCAACAACGCCTACTGTGTGACATGTAATCGAATTTGTCCAGAGCCTACCTCTCCTGAACAGTATCTCTGCGGGAACGATGGCATAACTTACGCCAGTGCCTGTCACCTGAGGAAAGCTACCTGCCTGCTGGGCAGATCCATTGGACTAGCCTACGAAGGAAAATGCATCAGTAGGTATCTTTGTAGAAGGATGAGGGTGAGGGGAGCTTCCTTGATCACCTGTTTCAGAGTATCATGTATGTGGCTGGATGGATGTAGTTAGTGCCAGGGAGGAAGAGAGACTTTCATCAGCCTGGTTTAGTGCTTCCCTCTAGAAAAAGAAGAGCCAGGGTGAGCCTTGCCCCAGAAAACATTGCAAAACGGATGAGGGAGAGGAGGGCCCGAACCTGCTGTGTCTGTGGGTGCTGACATTAGTATCCAAGGGAGAAGTAGCCGCCATTAAATAGATGATGACATGGTTACAGCATAACAAGGTCTCAGTATTCAGTGGGTCTGGATTCCTGGAAACAATTGTCTGCAAGTGGTCTTGGCAAAGCTTATGTTAACTTAATTGGAAACATCTGATCACTTTTTCCTCTTTAGAAAATTGTGGAGTTTGGAGATAGTTGGTGGGTGAAGGTAGAAAAATAATCTTTGTGCATCCTGACACTGTGTTGTGATTTCCAGAAAGGACTGATAGTGCAGTGTATTACTATGATGCACCTTCAGGGCAGCTCAAAGGGGCTGGGGGAATTTGGGGGAGTCTCAGGTTGCTTTTAGTTGGCAATTGAAAGGTTGAGGTGAATTCCCATTCTAGTCTTGTAGACATCTACACTCTGTGGCTTAGTTTAAAAATAATTAATTTAGAAATGCTGAACCTGTTGACAAACTGTGCACTTACTGCTAATTTGGGGATCTGAATTTCCACTGACATCAAATGGAGCAGGAAAGTCATGTACAATAGGCAAATGTAATTCTGTACTCCCAGGGCCAAGCTTTGCTGGCACAGCTGTCTGTCCTCCCCCACATATAGACAGGCAATGGTGTCCAAGGGACTACTTGCTTTAACAGAATCAGCAACTATCATCACATCTACTACATCTGAGCTTTGTTTCTTCACAGTTCACAGGGGAAATAGAGCTTTGGGGGTTGTTTGTTGTTGCTTTTCTATTGGCTTTGTCTTTTGACTTACCTCTAGTATCCTGTGTTATTTTTTAGAAGCCAAATCCTGTGAAGACATTCAGTGCAGTGCTGGGAAGAAATGCTTGTGGGATTTTAAGGTTGGCAGAGGTCGGTGCGCCCTCTGCGATGAGCTGTGCCCTGAAAGCAAGTCGGATGAGGCAGTCTGTGCCAGTGATAACACTACTTACCCAAGCGAGTGTGCCATGAAAGAGGCAGCCTGTTCCATGGGCATGCTTCTAGAAGTAAAGCACTCTGGATCTTGCAACTGTAAGTGAGATTTTTAACTCTGCAGACACTTAAGGCTTCTGAAGAAAATACCTAGGTAATGAAGACTTACACCTTTAAACATAAGAAAGCTTGATTTATTGTTTCGAAATACTGTAGAGGTGCCATATAAGTGTCTATGTATCACGCACATACTTTGGTTGCTGATAAAATGCAATAGATCTCCAACAACGAGCTGGCCTTCAAGTTGGAGTTTTGGGGATGTTCCGAGGACAAGCCGTTCTATCAGAAAGGGGTTGCCCTAGGATTGTAATTCTAGTGACTTTTTTGTACTTTGTCTGCTCTCGTGTGCTTTGCTGATTGCTTTATTAACACCTGGATAAACACTCTTAACTCAGTCCAAAAGAACAAGCTTAAAGGTAGCACATGGGCATCTGGTTTAGCACAGTTGCCTCCTACTAACTCTGAATGAAGGACACAAAGCAGTTAAATCTAGAACACAAGAGCGCGTTTCATGTGATTTCAGGAATCTGCCAATAAAACATGAGCCATTGATACTTCAGAACTTTTCTCCAGTTATGACTTCATAGATTATGTGTAAAAAACCTTATTGTATAACAGCAGATGCCAAAGAGCATCTCACTTCAAGTCGCATAAAATGCAACGCTGTATTATGGCTGTTCAGAGGGCTTTCAAAACATGCACTGAGCTGCTTCTGCGCTGTTGTTGTCCTTATTTAAACAACAGCTCCCCTGTATTCCCCCATTTAGCCATTAATGAAGACCCAGAGGATGAAGAGGAAGATGAAGACCAGGACTACACCTTTCCTATATCTTCCATTCTAGAGTGGTAAAACCTCCATCACTATTGGAACAGCCATTGGGCACAAAATCAATGTCCATACTGTAAATAAGTGTATGCTTATTTATTTTGGGGAGAAAAAAAAGTATACATATAGTTGAGTCTCGTAGACATTTATTTATACTGTGTCATGTTTTATAATTTATACATAAAATGTCTGGTTGACTGTACACCTTGTTTTTTGAAGAAATTTATTCGTTACGGGAAGAGCAGTGTTATTTATTGTGAGGTCTCTTGCTTGTAAAGTAAAGCTTTTCTTTTTTCTTGTAAACTATAAAAGTCCATTCCTTATAGCCTACCCACATGATCTCATCTCTTAGGTTCACTGATGTTAACTCTTTTCCACTTTAACAAACTTGCATGTCGGTTTCTGTTACATTTATTTATTGGATTTTCTTCTTGCCGGTTCTGTACATAAAAGATCCCTCGTGTTTTTGTTTACAAGGAATCTTGACTGACCAAAAGGCGTTGTAACTGACTTAAGTATACTTTCAGAGTGCAGTGAGGCAATCTTTAAGGAAACTTCTTCCACTTCCTTTTTCTCTACTTCTGTACATCATGTACAATGGTACAATGTGGTGATACAATGTATTGAGAGGTTATACTGTACAATACAAATTCTGGATCCAAAGAAATTGGATTATGAAGGTTATTAATGGCTGCAGGGCTAACTGTAATAAGAATAAAGGTGATATTTTATTTGTATTGTTTTATTTTTTTGTAACATGCGTGTTTTATCAGGTGTTTCCTTTAAGATGGTCTTGCAGTACCACTTTCAAAGTTTTCTTTTCCCAATCAGTGTGTGGCTAAAAGTTATATCAAAGCTTTATCAGTTCAAGTTTCTTGCTTTTCATAATACTTTTTTTCTGATGCAATTTTATATTTTCAAACATGGCGAGTTAAATATAAATTCATTTAAATATATAGTTTTGTACTTTTCTACCATGTAAATGTGCAATGTATATAAAAGTTATAATGTGTATTTGTAAATAAATGATGAGTGAAAAAAATAAAAAATGGAATTTTCCCTAGAGGCAATCCCAGCTGTTTGGTTCTAAAGGGTTTTGTCCCTCTAGAATCTTGTGTGCCATGCAACACTGGTTAAGGCCAAAGCTTCAGGTGACATTGATGTCAGAAACCATTTTTCAGATAGGAGCAATGTCTCCAGTTCATTACTATTTAATTTTAAGTCTAAGTACAGTGATGGAGGAAAAGAGACTTATGTCCCCCTCTCAATCCTTTAAATAAAAAGTCTCTCATTTCATAGAATCAAAGAATGGTTTGGATTGGAGGGGACCTTAAAGATAATCTAGTTCCAACCTTCCTGCCATGGTCAGAGACACCTTCAACTAGACCAGGTTGCTGAGGGCCCCATCCAACCTGGCCTTGAACACTGCCGGGGTTGGGGCATCCACAGCCTCTCTGAGCGACATGTTCTAGTATCTCACCACCCTCACATTAAATTATTTCTTCCTAGTATTCTGCCTGTATTTCTCCCCTATCAATTTATACCCATTACGCCTAGTCCAATCACTACAGTTCCTGATGAAAAGTCCTTCTCTGGCTTTCCCTGTGGCCTCTTCAGATACTGGAAGGTTGCTATGAGGTCTCCACACAACCTTCGCTTCTCCAGGCCCCAACTTTCTCAGGCTGCCTTCATAGGGAAGGTGCTCCAGTCCTCTTATCAACTTTGTGGCCTCCTCTGGACTTGCTCCAACAGTTCCATGTCCTTCTTGTCTTGGGGACACCACAGCTGTATGCAGTACTCCAGGTGGAGTCTCACCAGAGTAGTGGGAGAGAATCACCTCCCTTGAGCTGCTGGCCATACTTCTTTTGATGCAGCACAAAATTCAGGTGGCTTTCTGGGCTGTGAGCACACATGTCTGGGTCATGTTGAGTTTTTCATCAGCCATCACTCCCAAGTCCTTCTCTGCACGGCTACTCTCAATCACTTCTCTATCTAGCCTGTAGGTGTGTCTGGGATTGCTCAAACCAAGGTTTAGGACCTTGCACTTTGTTGAACTTCATGAGGTTTGCATCAGCCCACACATGTCAAGGTCCCTCTGGATGGCATCCCTTCCTTCCGGCATGTCAGCTGCACCACACATTTCTTGGGTATCTTTTACTTTCATATTTCTAGGAGGTTTTGAATATGCATTTGAATTTTTGCTAAGCTTCAGATCCATTTAGATGACCAATAGAAAATGCAAATCAGGGTCTATTGCCCAAACTCAAAATGTGTAAGAAATAGAACGAAAGACAGAAACCCAACAAACCATCAAAGAACACACTATTGCTTGGAAATTATTCTTCTCCAAAAAGGAAGTTTAATTCAGAAGTTCTTTTTGGTCAACCTATAGTCAGATGGGACACACTTTTAAGACTGGGTACTAATACTTGAACTGAGGAAAGGTAATTACCATGAGCACAGCAGGGACAAAAGTCCTGATTATGCTACCTGGATCATGCTGTTCTCAAAAATAAGGCCCCACTTATAAAAAATTTATCATATGCATAAACCTTAAAAACATACTTAAGCACCTTATTCGATGATATTCTAAGTACTTTGCTGAAGTGATGTCTGAGAGAAATTGACTCATCCTTTCACTTTAAATACAAATCATGTTTGAAGGATCTTCCTGCTATAGTCTTCTGTGTGTTTTCTACTATATAGTAAACTCTAATTTGTTATGGATTGTTTAGCATTATCCAAAGCAAATATAAAGTAACCATGTCTGAATATATAAAAATTACAAGTGTGTGTTTATAATACTGTATTCAAAATAATAGCAAAAATATTTTGCCCTTCATCCTCCTGTTACCTCATTTAGACAAATAGTCTCTTTAGAAGGAAATACATGATGAGAGGAGCAAAGGGAGCAGGATTTTGGTCTCCTGAGGGAACAGAACCCAAAATAAAAGAGAACAAGGGCTGGGAGAACAAAGGTATGGAAAAAGAATCAATTGGAAAGTCTCTCAAGGAACTAATAAACACATGACAATGACATAGAAACAACATGTTTAATAGATGTGGCAACTATCAGAGAAGATTTTTCTTAAATTCAGTTAGGTGCCAGCTACTTCATTTCCAACAAAACAACAACATTAAAATACTAGTTTTAATTGTAAATATATTTACATGTCTTACAGAGAGACTGTAGCAGAGCAGGATTTCTGGGTTCTAATTTTATGTCCTGCTCCTGGTTCACGAAATAACTTTGAGAAAGTCACTGATGGACAAATTCAAAAAAGGAACAAAAACTCCAGGAAGTTGTATTTATTCCAGTATTTATGTGCTAAATGACCATAAAAATCTACATCAGGTTACTGCTGACAAAAATATGTTAAAGTTCTGATACTGCATTTCTCATTGCTACTGCTTTTGCTATACATTTGAAAACCTTGAAACCTACCTTGCACCAAAGCCTGCTTGTGATGTATAGGTGTGGCATCTCCTGGAAGGTTGCATGAAGTAAGCATCTTCTAAGCATGCATAACACAACACCAGTTTCTTCATGAAGCACAACAGCCCCTACAGACTTTCTCCCAGAAGCATGTCCAGAGGTCGTGGATGCACAACTGTCAACATTTTACATAATATTATGCTTGTAGAGGAGGTACTTCTTCATGAAGTGAGAGATGTAGGTTCACTGTCAGTCTCTTTTTGAGGACATCTGTCCCACATCACCCAACAGTGCATCCAGCAACAAGTCAAGGTGAAGATCAGGCTGGAAACTGTCTGTCATGCCTGCTGAAGCCATACTTCTGTATTGGACAGGAAGCAAGATTCATTGAGAAGGGATAATTTGCAACCCTAATAGGTGCTCCTTTTGAAGAGGAAGTCCTGGGTTCTTGCCCCAGGGGCTGCCTACACACTTTGCATTTGTAATTGGGTAACATACATAAATAGTGCTTGAAGCAGGGGCCAGAATCCAGGTTGCTTCCCCTCCTCCTTCCCCCAGTAGGTAAGTACCTCCATCCTTGAGCTATGAAATCATGTTTAACTCTCTGCTTAAATCAAGATTACAAATCTCACATCTTTTTCTACACTGAGTCATAGATACAACAGGAGTGAGAGGCTTCACTTTTTTCATCCTCTCTTCCAGGCTTGTACATGAGTAACTTCCTGGAAAGTGGAAATAAGAACTTAATTCCCTCAGTCTAAAGCTGAAGCTGAATCCATTTACATTTTTTCATTGTTCCTTTTCTGGGTTGGGTTATTTTGAGGGAAGAGGGGGTGGGTTGTGTTTTGGGTTTGTGTTTGGTTTTGGTTTGGTTTGATTGTTTGTATTTGGTTTTGGTTTTATACGGTTGTGTGTGTGTGTATTTGTTTCCTTTTGCTTCCCCTCTTAATGCACAGGCTATCCTGGATGTTGTTTAAATGGAGAAACAAAGATGTCTGGGTGTCTAAGTACAAAAGGGTGGTTTCCAGTTCTGAAACCATGTTGCACAAGCTCCTAAAACCAGAAGAGAAATAAATTTTTAGGAATATCTTTCTCTTCAGTGTTTTCTGTTGTCTGGCATGCGTATTCCCCTGGCTGTAAATCATATTTCTGAAACTCCTAGATCACCATGAAGTATACTTTGGTACTGAATCCCAGGTCTGTGAACTCCATTCATAAATGCAGGCGAAGTAACATGGACCAGAGTGCACATATTTGAAAACAGAAACCCATGTTCTGGCACTGAAGTAAAGTCATCTTAATTCTAAGAGACTCAGCTTGAGACATTTGAACAGTAAGAATATAGCTTCTAAAGCCCCATTTCCCAAATGCATTTGTCTGTGCAACACAGTTTTGAGCACACTTGAATGCATTCCTGATAGCTGTGTTATGACAGACTTAAGAACAGTATCATAGACCTCTTTTACACCTTTTACCTCTTTGCTTGCCTTCTGCCTGCTGATGCACCTCAACTAAATCTCCATTCCAAGTCTCAGCAAATTTCAACAGCTGTCATCCATCTTTCTTTCTTTCTTTCTTTTTCTTTCTTTCTTTCTTTCTTTCTTTCTTTCTTTCTTTCTTTCTTTCTTTCTTTCTTTCTTTCTTTCTTTCTTTCTTTCTTTCTTTCTTTCTTTCTTTCTTTCTTTCTTTCTTTCTTTCTTTCTTTCTTTCTTTCTTTCTTTCTTTCTTTCTTTCTTTCTTTCTTTCTTTCTTTCTTTTCTTTCTTTCTTTCCCCCCCCTCACAAATGGGATCAGGTGAAATGAAGTTTCAGTGTGCAGTGCTCTTCTTTAGGCAGTGACATTTTACTATACAATGAATCACCTGCACAGAAACATCTGTACCTTATCACTTTGAAGAACTAGGATTCCATGAGTTCTGGTGAAGCAGCATTTGCACATACACCAAGTCATTCACAAGGTATCAGATTTTACATTCATAATTCCCTGAAGATAAGGCAATTACATTTTTTGTTTGATATTCCTGTAATTCCAAGACCTGCCTGACCGATTATGGCAGTATGAATTTTGCAGGTAGTATATGGAAAAGTAGTTTGCACATGTTAACTCTTTATTTTTTTAATATTTCTTTTCCTGATAGACATAAATACATAATAGATCC